TTTGTTCATATTTCAGCTTCTCGTTGTATCTGGTACAAGTCAATAGTGAAATTGTGGACTGCAATCGCGGGGGATTGTTGGTGCATATCCTGGTGGGATGGGAAATAGGGGTCCCAAAATACTTCACCTACGGGAATATTTATTTGAAAATGTGTCAAGTTTGGTGCATTGCAGGGAGTAGGATCACGGATAGGGTCACTTGAATTTTTTTCAACATTTCCAAAATCCCATCTTTGTGTTGCCATTCCTTGACGATAAAGTTTCGCCTAACATTAAAAAAAAAAACAGCTCAATTAAATATCAAAAGAAGTAATATTTGACTTGGTATCATTAAATGATATACCGTCATTGTTTTATAAAAATAACCAGTTGCAGGTTCTCGAATCTCTGGTCTTGGTTTTAAAATCTTAATACTAACAACCGCACGAACATATTGTTCGCGCATCCAAGTCAAGCACTTTTGTCCTAAATAACCAACACTTTGATCTACTGTTACATCACATAATATCCGTACATGTGGATAAACTATACGTATAAAACAAATATAATAAAAAACTTAACATACATTTACATCACTGGGAGGAGAAATCAAATATTAATTTTTTATATATTGTTACGGGGTGAATCGTAGGGTTTTATTAACTTATATATAAAAAAGATATAATTTATATGAGAAGGCAACTCGCCAGAGGCGTGACGTTGGTGATTTGACAATAATTTATTTTATTCAAAGGAATTATCAGGGTAATTTACTAAAGGTATTATATGAAAGAATTGTTGGAATCCCGAAGGATATCCTTTAACTAACGCGAACTCTCAGTGCTTTTATAGCTTCTTCTAGTCTAATGAAATCAAGGGGCTTAGGAATAATTTACATTACACATGAATTAAAGAATAATAGCGAAGCTATTATACATCAAGGGGTTTATAAGAATTATAATAATAATTTCTCCCAACGAATTCTTTCTTAAGCCTATTTTCCAGATCTTCTTTCTTGATCTGAGGTTCTTCTTTTCAGAATTCTTTTTCGGATTTCACGTAGGTTATCCTTTCTATTCTTTGGCAGGCAAGCCTCATATAATCGTTGATCCAGAATTCCAATATTGTATCCGGTTTAGTCACGAGATTACTGCGCCAATTTGACAATCCTTTGCCCGTAACAATATGTAAAAATAGATCCACCTATACAGAGTTAAGAATAAAATCAATTAAGACAATTTTAATATATTATAATTATTTAATGCTCTACTATATGCCAAATTATATTTATAATAAACTTAACAAGATATTATAAATTTAAACTCGGCAAAAATTTAAAATTTAAATGTATTACATGTAGTACATATTTTAAATTATATTATACTTCACTAAAAATAGATAGATTAAAAAGATAAAAATTTGGTTTAAAAAAAAATTCTAAGAAAATCTATTTAATTGGTTATGAATTTAAAGCTCTTACAGATATATAGGCTAATTTATTTTTGCAACTTAATTTTGTAGAATCTACTGAGTGCTCTAAAAAAAAAAAATTTTAAATAATTATCTTCTTACTGTAGCAACTGTATTATATTTAACAAAATTATAATTTTATAATAAAAAAACTATTATAGTTGATTCTTGGTTTGGTAGTACCAATTTATGTATAATTTTATTTGAATATAGGTTATATTCTATTTTGCAAATTAAAAAACAATGCTACTGGCCAAAAAATATTTCTTATAATATTACAAATACACTTGAAAGTGCTTATAGATTATTTGTTAGTTGAGTTAAAAAAAATAAATAGAGTTGATTTAACTATATATTTTGTTCGAGACTATAAAGATATTATAGTTTTTTTTAGTTGTTTTACAACATGCTCTGAAAAAGAAATAAAACAGTATATTAAAAATTATAGTAATATAAAATTTAAATATCTTGTTATATTTGATAAATTTAATAAATATCAATATCTTAAATAATATTCATAATAATGCTCTCTTTTATTATAATGTAATTATGTTAAAATAGTTAGTAGATTACATTTTTTCTTTTTATTTATCAGTTGCAAAAGCTAATAGCTTTTCTTTTTATTGTCAATTTATTCTAAATAGAAAAATATT